CCGCAATAGTTTCATGTCAGCAGCTTTGTATGAATTTATAATACGATACCCACAAATAAAAGTAATTGAACAGAAGTTCTGCGAGCCAGGTCATTCCAGCATTCAAGAATGTGACAACATTCATAGTCAGATTGAAAAATCCCTCTCTGCTGCAGAAATATTTAGTCCACTTGGGCTAGAAAGAGCTATTAAAAATGTAAACCGTAAAAAACCTTTCTGTGTTTACCAAATGCAATTAGGAGATGTAAAGAATTTTTTAGTTGTCGCTGGTTTGTCAAGTTATACTTACGTTAACTTGAGTAACAATTTTTTATTTGTAAATATTTGCAATAACTTTTAATAAAAAGTTAAACTCTATTAATGGATACACAGGCATAAGAAAAATAAAATCAAGTTCATCTTGCATGGAGTTTGTGATTAGATTAGTTGAATTGTTGTGAATTATCAGATAGTTACATAATGTTATTTCTTTTATTATTACATTTTTTTAAACATAACTCTTTCCTATATACCTTTCATAATTTATTTTATACGTTTATATTATATTAATACGTTTATATTATTAATACGCAGCCAAATTTTCCGTTTTAAATTAGACGTCTTAGTCTTGTCCAGGGCCGCCGCCTACAGGTAATTAAAGTAAATGTAAGTCGTAAGAACAGTGTCGTTAGAGGCTCTTCTAAAAGTTCTCCTAATTAGGGCCTCATTTTATTTAAAAAAACTTAATTTTTTAGGTAATACAAAAAGCGTCTTATATTTTGAAAAGGGTCCCGTTAAATTAGGGGCCCATACCCATAAATTAGGAGTGTATGGTACTGCGTAAGAATAATTAGCAGGTAGAACAAAATTTCATCAATTTCTAACATGTCGTTGTTGAAAAATGTACTTAATATGTTTAATATATATGATGTAACAACATAATATTTTTGAATTTTACTAAAAACCAAAGTTATTTTGTTCTATCTCCAAAAGAGGGTGCGAAAAAAAGGGCGTTAGCGTAATTTTAAAAAGTTTTTTTTATCTAAAAATTAATAATAAAATATTTTTAAATCTTAGGAAATACCTAAATTCTCAAAATATTTTTTCAATTTAGCTGCGAACAAATTCAAACTTTGACATCGATTTTCTCAGTTTGCAAAAACATGGAGATAGCACAAGATAATTCTAACGTCGCGATATATCGGTATTACCTGTATTTTCAAAAATCCTCGAACGTATCATGTATAATGGGATATTTGTTCAGAAATGCCTTCAAACTGTGCTGCAACTAACTGTGCAAATACAGTATAGAATCTATACTACCAGGATATCCCAGAATGCCTTGCGCATGCGATTACACTCTTAACTAAAGAATCGACAGCCCGTGGTCTCGCCTAGCCTAAAAATTATTTAAACATTCCGCAACACCTTAAAACTCTAAAAAGTTTTTAAATAAATAAAAAACCTTTTCATTATATGATCTATAAACTCAAGCGAAATCTTTACATGGAATCACAGAAAAATATCTAATCACAGAATACAAAATTGTAACTGAGACAAAATTTCCGACAAAAATGAGAAATACTTAAAATCATGTAAAGATTCTTGATTGGCAATAAGTTAAATTATGTTATTTTTAAATTTTTGAGAGGTATTGGCTTCTTTAAGTTTACCACTCAGGCTTGTAAAATGGTTCCATAGCATTGGGCCACGATAGGAAATGGCAAAGCTCGTAAGTTTTGATGTACGGAAAGGTTTTTTAAATCATCCGGTAGATCGCGTGTTGTATCGGTTTAATGTTTTATGGAAAAAAACCTTCGGCGTTTTTTTGACTGATGTTGAAACATAAATTATGTAATTTTGAAAATATTTAATTCATAAATATCTAGTGCCCTCATGCTTTTTAGAAGAGGTTTAGCATTTGTGAAGCGATTTTGAAAATGAATAATGGGTGCTGCATGATTCTGTTGTTCAAGGAGACAGTCGAGTTTAGATTTATTTGTACTACCCCAAATAATATTGCCATAAGATAAATAACTATTTATGAATGCAAAATATAGTTGAGTTAATGTAAATTTGTCTAAGATTTGTCTGGTTTTATATAAGATGCCAATACTTCTTGAGATTTTCACAACAACAAACTTGGCTTACTAACTGGGCAAATACAAGTGGAATTTTTGCATCTATTATTTTTAAAGTTCAATTTTTATTTAACAAACACTTAGGGAAAATGCCTTTTCCATAATGTCATTTCTACAGTATTTATATTTTAAATATAGTCTCATGGCATCACATTCAGACGATGTATAAAATAGGAAGACGTAAATGCAGATCTATCTGTCATGCAATTCATGAAATTCTTGGAGCATTGTTTGTATTAATTATTATTGTCAACTGTTATACTGACTTCTTATTGACCAACCAATTTGTTGATAAAAATAATACTCATTTTAATTTAATAAATTATTATAATTATGGTATATGTAATGTAACAACAAAGCAAAATAACATGTTACAAAGT